AAGGAGGATACGGTGGAAATGATTACACGCAGCACCTGAGCAACGAGTACCACTGGCTGTGGTGGAAGAGTTCATCATCTTCTCTGCCCTCGTCCAGTTGTCCTTACGGCACACGATTGGATAATAAAAACTTGTGAAAAAGGCGGACCATGAATTTCAGAGTGGCTAGAAGGAGCTGATACACTTAGAACGACCCGCACAATAAAGGGAGTACTCCTTCCAACATTGGTGCTCTGAGGAGAAAATTGGCAGAATTTATCAAATGTTCTGTGGGCATAAAACCTCAGCAGCGGCGTGTAACGCCTTTAATGTGAGAAATAGCCCAGGGGGGCCATGTGGAGTGTGTTTTATGTGGTTGGGGGGGTTAAAGGAGGCCTGCACATTGGGTCATGTAAAGACGGTGAGGGGATTGTCAGATTTCCCCAGCGGCTTTCTCTCTCTCTCATGTCATTGGAGCGCTGCGTGAGTCGCTCAGACAGCGCTGGCCGTCTGCTCGTGATTCACGCGCTCGTAAGGCCTCTATTGTAGTGGACCTCAGCCTGTATTTTATCCTGACACTTATTGAAATGAGGCCTTTGGGCTTAAAGAGGAAGCCAGCTGTTTGTTTTGAGAGGATTGTCATGCACACATGAAAACGGAGGGAGTGTTTTTTTTATTCCACGTCTCTACAGGATGCTCCCGTTCTCACTCGTCAACCCTTTTTTAATCTTTTTTAAAATGCAAAGTGATTTTCTTTCACTGGTTTAAAGAGCCAGTTGATGTTGAGCTTCTTTGTTCACTTGCTCAGAGCGCAGAAGGACAGGAGCCTGGACTCGGTGGTCCAGGCTGCACTGTTTTATGGACTCGGGTGAGCAAAGTGAGAGGGCTGCCATCAATGAAATCTTTTTCATTTTTGAAAATGTTACATAAGTGGTAGTTTTGTGTGGACAATGGACATGAATTCTCACTAACAGGCAAGCCTCTGCTCCTTTGAGAAAAAGCTAAAGCTGCAGGCGTGTGTACGTAAAAACAGAGTCAGCTACGACTTCCAAGACGCGCTCTGGCGCTCGTGGGGGGTTTAAGGGCATGAACCGCAACCTGCAAAACCCCCCAGTTGGAGTGCTCACAGACCTTTGATACAGTCAAAGGTCTTGCAAACTGAGGTATACAATAACCCCCCCCAAAAGACTGTTAAAGTAGCAAAACGACAGCTAGCCATGGCTCTGTTAACAAAATCAGCACAACTACCGGGACTCTTCTCTGTTGAGTTACTGATGACATCATTGAGGGGGAAAAAACCTCCCACCTGCCCCCGTGAGCCATGCGTAGCCACTTTAAGTCCTGTCCCGTCTCACTCAGCGTGGGTCGACCTCATGATCACAATTCCATCAGCCTTCAGTTCAGGAGCGGCGGCCCCCTTCATCCGGCCGCGCTCTGCAGCGCTGACAGGCCGCTTTCCCTGAGAAGACGCGGAGGGGGGGAAGAATCGACGACTGTAAGCGCTCCACTCCTGGGGCTGGATGACCTACATGTTACGCTTTCTCCATCTGCCCGCGGGCGCACTTAACGCCCCACAGGCTGCCACTCAGACCAGCAGGTGACGGCACGCGGGAGATGCAGACTTGGTGTAACGGAGCATCACTGCGTGTGCAGATGTTAAGCACAACACACCCAAGGTTACACGCGCTGGTTAAATAGCCTCCGATGCTCTTTCTGAGAGCCTGCTTTATTTCCCCGCGTAACCTTCATTCTCAGTTAAAGGGTAAAAGTGAAGACGGACACTTTCTCCTTGTGCGCGAGCCGAAAAAACAGAAACATTTCATTAAGATTCAAAGCGCCACATGCGAACCCTAAAGCATCGTATGCAGTTAATTCGAAGGCATGAAACAGCTAATGAACTATCAGTCTACCGCCGGCGGCCGCTTCTTCTCGCAGGAGAAGCGCATCAATCACTTAATCACCAGTGATCCCCTGCAAGCTGCCGGCAGTGTCTTTGCCTCCACAGAGATGGTCCCTCAGCAGAAGCTGCATCAGATGTGGCTGAAGTTGACATCTTAACAGACAAACTGGAGCCACTTTCCTACCGCTGTCACTACATTCTGCCCCTCGGTCTTATGAGATATTGATGGGAGACATCAGTCGATGAGACAAAGGCACTGATAAAGGAGACGCCTGAGGAGTCCGGCTAAGCTGCTCCGCGTTTGTCTTTTTCGTGCTTGTCCTCACACCTGGAGGAAGCTCCAGATGATGGGACAGGTCACACATGAGGGGACCTTCGGGATTGTGCTTTGCTGTAGGCGACTACTCATAGTTCTACCAACAGCGACTTGCTGCTGAAGTTTCCGAGTGAGTCTGTTTGTTGAGCTCAAAAAAGCTTAAAGCGACGCGTGGTATTTGCTGAGGCGCAGACTTCATGCACTCAGCTGCATCACAAGTGCACACTTTTTGTCTTTGTCAACATGGGACTCTGCCACGGAGAAAAATGAAAAGAAAAAGAGCTTTTGTGCTTTCGTTACACTCCGCTAAGCTGGTTTTCTGCATTTGTTGTGGGAAGCACGGTGGTCGTCTCAGGGGTTTTGAGTGCAAACACATTTCTCTTCTGGCTCTGGCTGCTGCATATCCACGTGCAAACAGCCAGCACATGTGTCCAGTTCTTTCCAACTTCCCTTTCTCCTGATCGTCACCTGGCCCAGTTGTACAAGTAACCATCCCTCGTGAATATTCCCCCGATTTTTGGTGATTTTTCATGTTGACTCATGTGCGTACCGAGCAGTTTTGGCCTTGAATCCCTCGCAGAGCTGCGTTGGACTTGATAAACACAACAGCTGCTAAATAATTTGTTGCAAACAGATTTTGTTTACCAGCAAGTGTTCGCGAATGAGTATGTATTTGCATACTTTGCACGCACACTTGAAGAGGACGGTTGAGGCTAGTGGGACAACATCAGAATATGTGTGAAACTTTTAAGAGGCTACAGCTTGTGCAGAGTGAATGTGGGAGGAAGTGGTGGTTAAATCCAACACAATTAGGGCCCCTTTAGACACGCTAGCTGATGATGCACTTTGCAGAGCTGTCACATGACATCTCGAGGAGCGCGCCGATGGCGGATCTTCACTCCGAGACTGTCTGAGGGCATCAAAGAAGCTGCAGCCGGGCCGACAGAAACCCTTCCCATCTGTCAGATCCTACACAGCCAACTGAGCCAGCGTGTTTGGCTGGAAGGACACAAGGACTGCAGAGCCCCTCGTGCACGGGCTAATGCTAGTTTATATTCTCCTGTTGTTTGGGGGGGATTACTTGTTCCATCTGGCTCTCGAGAAAACCATTTAAGAGAATAAAAAAAAAAAACCTGAACCCGCACCGCCTCTCCTTCCTCCTGACATGTTTCCTCTTGTTTCGTGACGGCTCGCGAGTACCGAGGCTGAGTAGGAGGAGTCTGGACTCACTAGAGGGAGAGCTGGAAAATTTGATCATTTATTTTCCGGACTGTCATACGCCATAGGCTGCCTCATTTGTCTGCTCCAACTCCTTTGTTTCCACCGGGCTCCCTGTTGCAGGATTCGCCCCGCGGAGCGAGACAAAGGAAGGAAAATAAGACGGACGGAGAGAGAGGGGGAGAGGTGGAGTCAAAGGCGCTGTATAAGCTAATTATTACATTGTAATGTGTTCTTATAGTGCTCCATGTTTTTTTAATACATTACTTAACTCTAATGTACATGCTGCTGTGTTTAATACCTGCTGACTGGGGGGAAAAATTTGAATTAAAGCCGGTTTGGAGTACGAGGGAACGAGGGACGAGTAACTTTTCCTCTGTCGGAGTGGTGATGACCCACTTTATCTGCAGGTGATTAATGCGATATCGCTACAAACAAAGGTCACATCAGAATGCGGGGAGCGTCCCAGAGCACTAAGAGCTACGGGATTTGTTTATGGTGAAAGGAAAGAAAGAAAGGAAGAAGAAAGATGTTTGTTGTTGTAACTCAGTCTCTAGAGACCCAAATTGATAAATGAGGGTAAAATAGTTGGAATTCAAGACAGATGTTTTATAAAATACAAGACATGCGCAATGCTAGTGCTAATGCATTTAGGGTTTTTTTGCATTAAAAGCAATACTTTAATGCTTTTTAGGTGAATTGTGTCATAGCACGTGCATAAGTGAAGAGTAAGTGGAGCAACATCTGGGGGTGAAAATGAACGCCTCATTTCAAAACTCAATACAAAAGCAAGTGTAATCATGCTTCTGTTTTTATTTTAACAGTTAATCTCAAGGATTTATACGTTTATACCGACGCGCACTCTCTAAGGTGTTCCACCATCATGGTTTCTCTTCCTGAGAAATCACTGGTGTTAAATGAAGCGATTATTTTCCTTATATGTGCCGGCTGTAGCGCAAATGAGTTTCGGTCTGTGAGAAAATTCTGTTCAATTTGGGAAGATGAGGTTGAACCAGAAGCTGTTTGGGCTTTGAACTGACATTCAGATGTGATTTCATGTGAATGTGCTCCAATGTTATATTCATTCAGACTCGTTATAGATGCATACATCTAGATAGAACTGTAGAAGCAACATGGCGAATTGGCCCCCCGAGCGCTCAATGTTGTCTTCATGCAGCTTATTGTTGCATATTTAGACACTGGAGATCTTTTGTTGGGATCTGACACCAAAGTTTCCCAGTAAAAGGTTCTGACGGATTGTTTTAAATCAACACATTACAGAAGTCATATATTAATAAGTGCTAATGCATGTGGGGGCCCAAGGCTGCGTTCTATTGAATTCCTTCATTTATTTCTCAGTTCTTGGGTTAAAAAGCGGGAATTTAAGTAATTTTCAGCTTTATCTTGTTTTCCCTCATTGGCTTTCAGTTTAATGTCACTCAGCTCAACTCTGGTTATTTGGCTGAGATTAGCTGAACCAGCAATCAATGGCTCTGCTTCCATGCAGTGTTTCCATAGCAACCATCAGCACAAATAAATCACACAAAAATTTACCATTTACCTGTAATAATATGTTGTCCTCTAAAGGTGAATGGGAAGGAGTTGTCCAAGTCCAGCCATGAGGAGACTGTGGAGACATTTCACGCTGCCAAGGACCCCGTCGTGGTGCAGGTCATCAGGCGGACCCCCAGCGGCCGCCCTCAGGAAATCCACGTGGTGGACGTGTGCACTCAGACCGACATCACCTTCGAACACATCATGGCGCTGGCAAAGCTCCGGCCGTCCACCCCTCCTGTGCCTGACGTCTGTCCCTTCCTGCTCTCTGACAGGTGCGTGCATCAGAAATGCATTTGTCAACCTTCTCATCTGCTGTAGCTTCAGGTGTCCCCGAAGTTCTTGGGTCCACCTTCCCAAATACATTAAGGAGAAGAAATGTACTAGGCTGTTGGTTTCTGTAACTGTTATAAGGACCCAAATAAATTACCCTCCACTTTGCAATATGAATCCAAATGTAATGTAATATTTCCTCACCGCAGCTCGAGTGTTTTTGTGTCTGGAAATGAATCCAAGTGGAGTTCTGTAAGCTGACGGTAGCCAAACACTTCAGTATCTACCTGATTCATGATATCCGTGACATCCAAACGAAACGATGACGTTCAGTTTAACATGTTTGGTCTGTGGATTCTTGAGCCTATTTAGATTAAACTATTAGTAGCTTCAGGTGCTCAGAGGCTCACTTATAATCAAACTAATTCAAAACAACAATTATAGATTCAGCAAGATCAGTGATATGATATAATTGAACGTATTCTTATTTAATATAATTACATATTAATTTGGTTCAGTGCCTCAAGAGTTTGTCGTGTCGTCCTTGTTTTGACTTTGGAATGTAATTAAGAGGACGGCGGCTTAGTGAGACACGTTGAGCTATGAAGCAGAAATATCAGTTTTCGCAGGATTAGCATTTCGGCAATAAAACCCATCTGTAAAATATAGATGCATCGCCGAACCATCTGTACAGTCCATAGACCAATATAGATTTGTTTAATGAATGAGCCTCCGAATGTCCTTCACGTCTTCACACCAATATGACAAACACAATAAAGAGGACAGGGCTGATTGTTCCCTGTTAACCATTGGTAACCAATGCATGGGGTTCGTTAGAGTACATCTCATGGGGATGCTGTTGAAGTACAACACCACAAAGATGTGTTTTTATTGTTTATGTGGGACGAAGGCAGAAGAATATGCACAAAAGTGATGTTGAGCGTTTTCAGCATCAGCCAGAGGTTTTCTTTGAGAACAGGGTTCATTATTTTCCTCCTCTGGCCTTTTAGTTTGTATTCTGTTCATCTCAAAGGAGAAGTAAACTGAGAACAAGAAGTTTAGCATGAAGCAGTATCTGGGTTTCCCCCCGTGGGAATGTGAAAATGAGACGAATGGCAATGCAGGAGCTTCCGAAGTCAACATGGTCTCCACAATCATAAAGATATTGAATTCTTCACGCAGCATCTGTTAGTGTAGACCTGCTTTGATTATTCTTTGCCTTGACGGTCGTTATCAAAACCATAAAACAGGATTATTGTCAGTGTTACACATGACCTGATCAAAATCATTGCCACACCTATATATCTCGCCCAATATCACCGTACGGTCCCCCGCGGGGCCTTCTTGCCGTAATTGGAGCTGCTTGGCGTATCCATTTTCACTCATTGAGGTTTTACAAGGTGATTAAAGCCAATGGGCTAATAAAACGCTGAGCAACATGTGCGTCGTGCGCTCACAGGTTACTCACAACCTCGGGGCCGAGCCCAAATGTAATCAACGTGTCCCATAAAACTCACATTTTCGTCTCCTCATCTGCGATCAGGTGCACGATCCAATATCCAGCAGACTTTATTGACGTGGTACATGTTTGTCACACCTTTTTTTGAGGCTACGTTGTAAGCGTGTTCGTTGCACCTTCTGCCAAATGTTATGTGTGTAGTAGCGAAGCATCAAAGTTAAAGCAGTCTGGGTAATCAAAGGGTCCGACAGCTCTTGAACACATCACTCAAAATGTCTTTGTCCACCTTTTATTATCTTGCTGCTCCTCATGTTGGGCCTCACAAAGCCGTTTTGTTCAGTGGCTCAGAAGCATAATAGGAATTGCACTTATACAATGTGTGTGTGTGTGTGTGTGTGGGGGGAGGAGGGGTTTGTCTGTCAAGAGGAAGACGCAACTGATGTGGATGTGCCGTGATTAACAAGGGGCTGTATTTTCACCACACACACTCCGGTGGCACTGAAAGCTCTTGACAAATCCTTTATCCTCCCGATTGCAGCAGAGACAAAGGCGAGGGAATCCTGCCACTTAGAGGTACTGAAAGCATTTAGAAAGTGACGCCCATTAACCTCCCTTTTTTTTACCCCACTCCTTGTTTGTCCCCCCCCCCCCCTGACAGCTGTCATTCCGATCATACAATGGAGCAGGACTACTATGAAGGGACGGGCTACCTGTCCCCCGCTGCAGCCGACGGAGAGAGAACAGAGGAGTTTGAGTACGAGGTAGGAATCACACTGCTTCATTGAAGCGTATCGCTGGTGTTTATTGCTGCGTGTGTTTGCAGAACATTACCCAACCTTGCTGTGCAGTAATGCCCGTGTGTGTGTGTGTGCACCAGAAGTCACTGTAGAGGGTTAGCGCGTATCACCAATAAAAGCCACAGTGGCTGTAGGTGTTTAAGGGTTACGGTTACACAACAGTGGTGGCTCATGTATGTTGGACTCAACCGTTTACCGCTAACCAAAAAGTTTGAAGATGAAGTCCTGAAAACTGCCCCGTTGTGTAGGAAAAAAAAAAGCAAAGACACGCGTGACCTCCCCACCGCATGGACACACACTCCCTTAAAACTCCGTATTTAATGATGCTTAGCAAACGGTCCCAAACACCAATTGACTCCACGGGCGGACCCCCAGGGGGACAGAAGCGGTAAACGATGAGCCACATCCAGGCAGGAGATGATGAGACGCCTCCGCGTTTGTACCTTTTTGTCTACGAGGCAAAAAGAGGAAATTGAATTCCTTCACACAGCGACGTCGTTACCTGAGACCCACTAATTGTTTTCACAACTCTGGGAGAAAAAGCCGGTGACTGCGAGTGTGAGCTTGATCACATCCAATTACAGTGAAGTGTGCGTGATAGCTGCGAACGAGAAAGAAACACACTCCTTTGCCCGTGTGTCTCCGGTGTAATCCGAGTGTCGTGTCGGTGATGTTTCTCTGACACATACAGATGGATACATGCTGATGAACACATTCAGGCGTGATGGGAAGAGACAAGCAGGCTTTGTCTCCGCTCTCCTTATTTCTAAGTCACTGAGGTGGGAGCATATCGCCAGCGAGGGTCCGACCGGCCTGATGTGTGATGATTGCTCGCCCCTCCCTTATTCCGATTTGCTTCGTTTGAATTTGTTCTGGATGCTTCCACTCACTGAGCTTCGCCGCTTTCTTTACATCCCTGAGATTTGTGCACCCGCCTGAATCCCAGTGCCAAATTGGAACAAATATAATGAATTAAAGCCTCTTAATGCGTCATCGCTCTTAACACGTTCTATTCTTTTTTATTTCATGCTGTGTGGGTTGAATATCAAGGCGTCGTGGCTCCGCTGTAGGTCAACTTAAAAAGCTGCAGGGATGATGTAGACCAAAGCTGCAAAGCCACTTTGAGAGCCGACCTGATCCTCACTCCCCGCCGAAGGAGGCGAAAGAGAATAAAAGGAGGCGTTTTTTTTTTTTTTTTTTCTTCAAATCACTTTTTGTTGAGCTGAAAAACGCACAGCGGGTGAGAGAAGTCGGCCATCACATCACAGAGAATCCATCTGAATCTAATTCACCTCTCCGAAGCACCAGGACCGTGATGTTTCTGCTTTGGGTGAACAACACGTGAGCGTCGCGCAGCCCTCTGGTTGATGAGGTGGAAACGTGCCAGATGCCACCCTGAAGGCATGACGCGTTTCTAGCATCCTATTTATTTTGATATTGGGAAGTTGTTTAGCATCGTGATGAATAACTGTCACTTTTAATAATTACAGCCACACGGTACGCCACATTCTGCTAGTTTACATCCGATCTAAAACAATCAGACTCTCTGCCAGAGCAGGGAGACGTTTTCGGCTAAACGGGTCTGATGGAGCCGGTTTGCCTCCTGGAGAGCACGTCAGACCCAGTTAGAAACCGGCCGGTGACGAGTATTTAGCAGAGATGTAGCTATGTACCACTTGTGCTGTCTCTCTTAAAAACGGATGCAGGTTGATGGAGCAGCGTTGCCGATGGCGTTCAACGGAAAGTGATTCAAATGTAACCGTGGTACAAGATCAGAGAAACGCTAATGAATCAGTTAACTAGGTTTTTACAAGAGCACAGAGGCAGAGCGTCGCCGTCACTTCAATGTAGCAACACATTGGCTTCTGAAGTGATTACATCCAAATGCAAAGCTAGCGTCCGTAAAGTTTCACAGCAGATCATTAAAACTACCTGTAAAAGAGTTTCTAGCTACAAAATCTTGTACACGGAGAATGATGCTGATTTGATTTTAAAAAAAGGGTCAAGAAATGTCATTAGCAAGTTTTACATGTTTGTGTAAATTACTCTAATTTTCATTACATATGAAATGTATATGTACATATATATTTATATTTCCTGTAGAACAGTATATGTGTTTAATAGGGATTTTTCTGAGTGCATCTCCCTCCAGCACCGTGTCTGTCCCTCAAAAACCTCTTTGAAATAAGTCCCACTTAAGAAGCCGGGCGAGGAGCATTCAAGCGGAAATATAAAGTATATTGAATCTCAGTTCATTTAATTGAGCATTCTGTAGAAAAGGCAATGGAGAATTTCTCTGCCACTCCAAAAACGGAACAAGCCATAAACTCTCCGTCCTCTTTCACGGTGGGCTTATTTTGATTAATAAAAAAATTAGCAAGAATTTCACACAGAAACCTCACACATTTACCACAGACGCTTGATGTGTGTGTGACCACAACGCCGCGTTAGTAACCAATTCCTTTGATTGCTTCTTCAGAACTAACCGACACCAAAGTGTCCAAACTCCGAGATAGTCTCTGCTCTCCTGCGGTAGCCATCCACGCATTTGTGAGTCATTTTCAATGACTGGTAATCAAATGCTGCATTATTATGACAACATCCAATGCTCTTTGATGGCGGGTGGCAATCTTCCCCTAATCACGCCATCGCAGTCCTTAATTTACTGTCGCCGCGCTGCAATCTCCCGCCTGAGAGGCAGAGAGCTCGTCTGGAAAATGGAAGGAAAAAAAAAATCCGGAGGAGAGATGGAGATTGGCGAATGCACTTTTGATGCATCACGAGACAGCCTCCTTTTACCGAGGCACCCGAGTGTGGGTGTGTGTTTTCTGTGCACAATATTGTCTTTAAAGCGACGACGCAAAAGGGGACATCTGGTGGAGGAAAAGCCTCAAGTAAGCCTGCTGCACATGCAAGAAACAGTTCAAAGGTTCAAGCGACGTGCCATAATCGTAGCCATCTATCTTATCGGATCCTTTAGCCACAGGTTAATTAATTAGTCCGAAGTAAACCGCAGAGCCACGTGGAGATGACGTACTACCGCCTCACACCTCTGCACGGCCGCCTCCTCAGCAACACATTTGTGTGGTTTATTTTTAGACAGTTGTCACAGGACATTGCTATATTCCTCACGGTTATCCAACAACTTCTCACGTGACATTAGCATGCGAGACATGCGCCGTCTCCGCGGGTTGCCATTACCTCCGCGGCGGCTTCGTTGCATCAGATGAGCCGCTTTGAAAACATTTCAACCAACAAAAATGGGGGCGGCTCATTAGGGACATTCTTTATGTGGCTGATGATTTTTTTTTTTTTTTTTTTTCGGCTTCAGCTTTGTTCAGGTAGCCGGCGCCAACACTTTTCACGATGTTTCCTAAAGATATCAGCCGGGATTTTAAATCGTCAGCGCCGCTTCTGAGACAGTCAATTAAAGATCGGAGCTCCCCGTCAGGTGGAGGCTGTCGTGAAAGATAAAACAGTTTGACTCCACTCGTACTTTTTCCCCACCGCGTCTCGGCGAATAGGAGTGCTCTGCCAAACGTGTGTAAGCACAAGGGTTGATGGAGGACGATGGAGGAGTTACTCCTGTGTGTTTGAGCGTGCCGGCTGCCTGGTCCAAAAGCACCTCAATGACCTGTCAGTGTGTGAGAAGGCACAGGCAGAATGAAAGTAGTGTCGGGGGAGAAGGAGGACATGGGAATTGAGCCCAAAGGATGTTTATGTGCGTGTGAGAGGAAGGGGGGGGGGGGGTAATAAACAGCTTGAGAGGAGTAGCCAGAGGCCGCAGGTGGCGACTCTCTGGCCTTTGCTCCATCCCGCCCACATCTATCGGTGGTCACTTTGCCCCCACCCCGCCTACCCTGGTACCATTCCCAAAGCCCTGACACATGTGACACGTGTAACCAGCCTGCCCACACGTGTCCCAGAGGAAACAAATCTGTTTCTGTGTGAGGCCCCAACCAGAACCCTCCATCCTCCTCGCCGCTGCTGCTGAGCGCCGCTGTGTTTCTGCTCTAATGAAGACTTCGGGAGGCGAGCGCCATTTCACACTTGATTCCCTCCAACGCCCCTTGATACGTTTCGCCATTTGGAGACGGCGTGCAGGCTCGTGCCGTTTAGTGTTTGGCTCAAAGTGGTTCGTGCGAGCTTTGGGAAAATTGGTCGGTCACAACCTACTTCAAATATTACATGGGCCATTTTCTCAAGTTCCAGCAATCTCACTTTCTGTTATGAACTTAAATGAAGAATTTGTGTACTTTGCGGTCTTTCAAGAGACACGTGGGACATTTTACGACCACTGATTTGAAAGTCAATAGTTTGTGTATTTCTGCTCGAGGGAAGATGAGGAATACTTTAGTGCTGCAACAAATATGTTTATTCCGTGGCATTAGCATAATTATAGTTTATTTATAGTCTAATACTCGACAACTTGGCAAAGGCTTGAAAGAAAAATAAATACTTGAGGTCCTCTGGCATTTATCAAAGCCCCCACTGATCAAACTTTGAGCTGAGAATGTCTTTCATGATCAAACACTTTCAGACTCCAAAAACCACACAGACGGGAGTTTGCAATCCCGACTCGATGAGCATCTCAAAATCAAGCGTGATGTTGTGCAGACATTTGAAGAACATTATCTGATCTTCAGCCGAGCGGCAACTTAGTCTTTGTGTATTCAATTTTTGTACAGCAAGATTCACTGTAACTGCATCGAATATATTTGAAGTTTCCGATCAGTTTGTTTGTTTCCCCCGTTAAAGGTTACTGAGGTCATCGAGGTCAGCAAAGCAGTATCACCGCATGTTGGTTAAGTAGCTGTTCTGGAGCTTTCAGTCGTGGAATTGTATCACATTCATGCTGTGAGAATTTCTCGTCAACCTTGGCTTGAACTTTTCACAAAAGTGGAAATTGCGTCAGCAGAAATGATGAAATATCTTGAGAGTCCATCTACTAAGAACCCTTGTGGTTGTCTTTGCTTCGGGGTCAGTCGGTGCACCTCTAGTTTCCCACTGAATTATATCAAAATTACTGGTTGAGTTTGCCAAGAAATCTGGAATATACATTCCGCCCTCAACTAATGGCATGCCCCTCAGCTTGAGCTGTACTCTGTAAATATCAGCATCATCACGTGTAGTAGTGCAGACTCTTGTCTTGTTGTTATGTGGTCCTCTTCCCCTCTTATCCACACAGGAAGTGGAGTTGTGTCGACTCAACAGCCAGGAGAAGTTGGGTCTGACTCTGTGCTACAGAACAGATGAAGAGGATGATGTAGCCATATACGTCAGTGAGGTGAGTAGATGATGTCCCCCCTGAAGATGAAGATCTCCAACTTGGTTTGAAGAATCATTACCTTTCAAAGCTCAAGCATTTGGTTTGCGAACGCCGTAAAACGCAGGATAGTCTGCGTTTGGATTTTCCCTGCTATGCTTTGCTGTCAGATGAAGAATAATAAAGAATAATCCAAAATAAATGTATCCATCTCCTGCTCGCTATTGTTTTGGCCAATCCCACCAGTTAGGACTGCCAGCTGAAAGAAATGAAATAAGAATACTCTTGGGGCAAAAGGTGTATGCACATTCCCACATTTACACATCATACGCTGCTGTGGAAACCGTTATCTAGATTACTGAGTGCCTCAGTTCGCCCAAACAACCGGAGAAGCTGCTTTTTCCGAGACTAAATCAATTGTGACATTTGATATTCATCTTCAAATGTATGATTTACTAAGTATTCAAGCAAAGAAGATTGTTCCATTGGGAACAGCGTATAAAAATAAAACGCTTTTTGGTTTGGCAACGTTCTCACTGCAACACTACGTCGTCAGTACGTATGACTGCCATGACAGATAAAAAGACACTTCCCGGTCTTGTTGTTGGCATGTTTACTAAGTTTACTCTTGCGTCCACTAATCTCCCAGTTGTTGGATGCATACAAATTTCTTTATTCCGTGCTGCTCAACTTTGTCTGCTTCGTTTGAAGTTGAGTCGGACCCTGCGAGGTGTTCGCCGTGAGAGCTGAGCTGAATATAAATCACTTTGGTCCGTGGCTCTCGGCAGCATCCTTAAGCGTTCGTACGGCAAAGAAGTAGGACTAAGAGGCGTGTGCTGCATTTAGATGAGGCGGCTGAATGTCACTGTATTCAGGATGAGTTAAAAAAAAAAGGTGTTACTCTGATCTCGCATGAGTAGCCAGAACACACAAACATGGAGTTAAGAACAATGCAAGGTCATTTTAAAACAAAGCTTCATTTCACAACTTTGTTGCCCTTTTTCTCCGTGTTAGTTCAATTCTACTCCTTTTGTTCCCGTCGTACCAGCACAGTGGTTGAATAATTCAGAAGAACAAGCGCTGAAAGGTACATTTCCTTAGGTTCATCCATTTGATCATCCAACTGTTTAGTTCTATGGAGGAGCGCAGGGGGCCGGAGTCCGTCCCAGCATGCGTAGCTCAAAGAGGCATCGGTCAAAAAGGCCGAGTCTTTGCTGGACAGGTCACTAGTTTGCTGAAGAGCCAACAGACAAAATCATTCCATTTTCTTCACCCGAAGATTGGAGATCTCTCAGGGTTTGGGTTCTCCCTCTATTCAACCCCCCTAAGATTCCATTCCACTTCCTCTCTCGCCTCCATCTGTGTCCGGTGACTTCCCTCCCAGTTTAATGAGTGTCCCTCTGTGTAGGAGTGGACTATCATGAAGACGGGGACCACAGCACTTCCCCATATCCATAAGTCCCGCCCCTGTTAGGACAGAATGGAACGAATGGCCCCAGACATCGATTGATTGAGTGTCCTGCCCTCTTGTCCATTGTTCATCGTGCATTGAGGCGCAGTTACATGCTGTAAATGCTTTATGCAGAGGCTGATGATATATTAAAGCTGTGAGAATATTACAATTAAGGCGGGCACAATTGTTTTTGGTGATTAAGGTGAACGTCAGAGGTGGTGGGCCGCATCAGAAAAGCTTTTTGACAAAGATCTTCAATTTCCATGGCGATGTGTTCAGGCAGGTTGGTTGAAAGTGTTGTTTTGTGTCCCCCTCTACCTTCCCAGATCAGTCCAAACAGCATCGCAGCGAGAGATGGACGCATCCGAGAGGGGGATCGCATTTTGCAGGTACGGCAGGTCTCTCACTGACCCCCCTCCACACCAGCTCTCATTAGATTTCAACATAGTTTCAACTTTTCGTTTCGTCGCACTCCACCAGCGTCTCCCAGCACGAGCGCCCATCCGTATTTAATGGCTGTACATTTAAAAAGGGGGAACTCTTCCCCCCGCTGTGCCGGTTATAAGCTGAGAACTGCCCCCCTGGCTACTGCCTCAGCACCAACAGGGGTATTCAGCTCACTGCCTCCTGATGACTCTGATCGGCCCCCAGCTTCATCTTCAGGCCTGAGAGTCAGAGGAATTCTGCTGCAGTCGTGCTGCCTCTGTGTGTGTGTAAGGTGTCATACAGGTAACAGCCGCTAATTGTAATGGCAAAATAAGCTTTATTACATTTTTATGACATAATTGGCCGTTTCGCAGTCAACATTTTCTTGAAGCGGTGTGTTCAGCCACCTGATGAATACACATTTTAAACTATGTGTTGGTCACCTTCATTTCCTCAGGGAAACATAGAGCTTATTTTTAGCTTACTTAGCATCTAACTGAACACCTGGCACTTAGCAAGCATAGCAGTGTTCCCCGCCTTCCCAGGTGTGTCAAACCCAGTCAGCTGCTGCTGCCATGGAAACAAAAGTGACGTGAGCTTTAGCTTAAGATGGGATCTGTCATTTTACAAGTAGGCAGCGGACTATTCTAACCTGAGTGATCTAACTATTCATGGAGAAACAGTCGGACTATGGAGATAATGTATTTTAATTGATGCAACATCACCTTGTGAGGGGAGAAACAGGATGTGCAAGTGATTATTTCAGGGGCAGATGCATGAGCACTGTTTAATTTCGTCTACCGGTGTCCATGTGGTGTGACGGATTTAAGCCGGAGGACGGAGTGTGTGTGTGTGTGTGTGTGTGTGTGTGTGTGTGTGTGAGGCAGACCAGTCCTCTGGCACTATTATCCACCAGTGACAGGACCATTACTCTGCCTGCGAAAAGATGGACGCTCCCTGTCAGTGGGCAGTTAATTGTGCGGCGAGATGCATGTGTGCCGCCGGATACCAGTTCCGGGGGCCACTGTCCCATTCATAATCACTGCCTCGTCCCGTTTAATATCAGAGAGCGTGTTTACAATTTCCTGTGAGGAAAAAAATGCATTATTGTGCAGTGCAACTTTTATTGTGGTACTTTGTTTTTCTTTAGGCCCTTTGTGTGGAGGTCATTAATTCGGCCTCAGTGTGTGTGGATACATATGGGCCCGTGTTCCAATGTTTTCATTACGTGTTTGCTTGCTTGCGTCCGACTAAGTCGTGGGCGTGCTGACCGTGTTTCCATGTCTTCCTCAGATCAATGGCCAAGATGTACAACACAGAGAAGAAGCAATGGCCGTCCTCTCCAATAACGAGAGCAGGAACATCGTCCTGCTGGTGGCCCGACCTGAGATGCAGGTTAGAAATCGCCACCGACTCAATCACCAACTGTTTGGCACGGGGGAAGAAGGAACGGAACGCACAGATTACAGCCCCGGGGGTTCCTTATTTGCATTATATTTGCTCAGAGTAAACCTTAGCAGCCCGCGGTGGCCAACCGTCCCCTCCACGTGGAAGCCACCACCGAGACGCCTCATCATGTTTTATTTTTATGCAGCGCCACTGTAATTGACTTCCAACGGTACGCCATAAAAGCTAATGGCATGCTAATGTGGAGTGAGTTCAGGCCCAAGGCCGATGGCGAATAAGCGAAGGCACTCTGCCGCAGTGCAGCGGAGCCGTAGTAGACTCTTTGTAATTAAATGTTTCCCTCGGTAGGAAATCGTAGGTCTTCAGAAATGGATCCCATTTGGCTCACATGGAGCAGACAAACTGAAGATGGGTGGTTTGAGACAAAAAGGTCAAAGGTGGCGGTCTCGAGTCCACTGGCTGGATTTTAAGATCGTAATGTATGTTTTAAAGATGAGGGGTGGCGTTTTGTTGGTTAAGTAGGGAGTAAGTAGGTCCTACTTGTTGAGGCTTCCTGTTCCATATTTTATTACCATGCCTGCTTTTTATCCGTCAGAAAATCCAATTCCGGATGCCTAACTAAATTATTTGTTTTGAGACATCACATGGCCTTAGACAGAGACAAATCACACCAGCTCCTTCCTCTTTCCTTCTCCATTCACATGTAGCTGGAGGAGGCCTGGCTGGATGATGAGCACAGCGAGTTCCTGGAGCAGCTGAAGATGGAAATGTTAGAGGAACAACAGAGAGAGGAGATGGAACTGGCCGCCCTACAGGAGGAGCAGGAGAATGAGCAGGTCAGACAGCGTCGCATTGCTGGGTTATCGAGTCAAAAGTTGTTGACTGTTCAAATAATACAGCCCATAAAGAATGGATGAGTCCAAAAGCAATAGAAGTAATATTATGAATGCCATGCCACGAGTAATGAATAAATCAATAAGTACACTATATTATTCACAGTCCATATTAACTTTATTAACAAATGTATTGTTGTGAAAATAAGCTTTGCCCTTTGAGTTGATTACAACCGAATCTCCAGAGCCCCAAAAAACTGTATTTGGGACAATTCTAAAAAGAATGAATATGAATATTTATGTAAGGGGACCGTTGAACCATTTAAATGAGAAACATTAGAAAATCAGAACTTTGAATTTGGTTTTGTAGGGAAAGTAGCACGCTAAAAAAAAATCCATGTCAATGGAACTACAAAGACATGGCGGAGAGGGAACAATCCCTGGAGTACAAGAGCAGTATAACAGAAAATGTAACCCTTCAGGAGAATGCGTCGGCCTCCTTGAACCCTTAATCAGAAAACCACACAGAGTTTAAGAACAGACCCCCTCTCATTCATTCATTCATCCAACCATTGACTAGTACTGTATGTATGTGTGTACCGGTACGTACGTATGTATGTATCATTGGTAAATGTTTAATCACTTAACACAATTCACAAGCATTCACATTTTATACAAGTTGGAATAATCTAAACATATATTTATTATTTACTGGTAAGTTTACAGCAAGCGTGTCCCTTTGCTACATATTGTTTGCTTTCTATCCCCCTTTGCAATCTGTATCTAAAAAAAAAAGGACACTTTTTTAAAGAATCCTATGTGGCTCATCACAACAAATTAATCAGAATTGTCATAATGTTGCATGATTTCAGGATGTTCTCGTTTCTTATTTTCAGACAGCAGACGATGACAAGCCCACCTGCTCCACACTTCACCATAATCGTATAAAAGACAGAATGGAGAGCTCAGAGGAAAATGTCCTGGCACACATTCAGAAACGTTTGTCGCAGTGCCTGAGAGACAACCGGGACACCGGCTCCACGCGGCCGGAGGACCGAGAGGATGAGGACGACGATGAGACAGGCGGGGACCGATTCCAGCAGCTCTTGGAGCTCAAGTGTCAGATACGCAACAGCGGTGAGTACGACGTGTTCTACAGCCGCCGCAGCACCATCGAGTGCAGCATCGGGGAGCCGGCCGGCGTCCAGCGCGAGCTACGCATGCTCAACGAGGAGCTGCGCAGCATCGAACTCGAATGCCAGAACATCCTGAAGGCCCACAACCTTCGTAAAGGCCAGCAGTCTCCCTCCGCGGGCCACGCGGCGACCAAAAACCAAGGTGACCCGGCGAGGGGCAAGCTGGCTGAGATGAACGAGAGGCTGGAGAAATCGGACAAGGACAGCTCCAGCGCCTACAACACGGCCGAGAGTTCACGCAGCACTCCTCTGGCGATGGACCGCTCCCCGGAGCACTCGCTCCAGAGACTGGTCAGCCTTACCAACCAGAGGAACCTGTGCAGCGGCCTCGCCACCGGCCCGCCCCTCAGCCCGAGCCCCGTCCTCGTCCCCGTCCCAGAGAATAGAAGCAGCCCTGACCACAGCGATGCCCCCGAGTCGAACCAGACTGCCGAGGAGGAGGGCAGGCCGCTGGCCTCCCATATTCCCTACTTCTCTCCATCCCACAGCTCCCAGCAGAGGCAGGTCAACATCCCGGCACATGCCAGCCACTACCAGAGCTACATGCAGCTGATCCAGCAGCGCTCAGCCGTGGAGTACGCCCAGAGCCAGCTCAGCCTGCTCAGTGTCTGCAAGGAGCCTCAAAGGCCCGTTAACGAGCCCAAGATGGAGTGGAAGGTCAAGATCCGCAGCGACGGCACGCGCTACATCACCAAGAGGCCCGTGAGAGACAAGATCCTGAGGGAGCGAGCCCTGAAGATCAAAGAGGAGCGTAGCGGGGGGATGACCACGGATGATGATGCAATGAGTGAGATGAAGATGGGGCGCTACTGGAGTAAAGAGGAGAGGAAGCAGCACCTGGTCAGGGCAAAAGAACAGAGGAAAAGACGAGAGTTCATGCAGCGCAGTCGGCTGGAGAGCTTGAAGGAGAACCCTCAGAGCAGCAGTGAGGGACGCAAGGAGGTCAGCATCATAGAGCTGAGTCAGAAGAAGATGATGAAGAAACGCAACAAGAAGATCCTGGACAACTGGATGACCATCCAGGAGCTGATGACTCATGGCACCAAGGCCCCCGAGGGAGCCAAGGTGCACAACGCCTTCCTGTCCGTCACTACTGTATAAAAGAAACACACGTTCTACCCCATGCGGTATAATATACTTGCCTCGTTCAATGTGGCGTTTTTATGAGGACGACCGGAATATTTTTCACACTTTGTAACCCAAAAGGCATTTTGTAAAGAATTTATCAGTGGGGTCATGGCATTTTCTTCATGTTTTTCAGTATGGTTTTTCACATGAAAAAAAAAAAATCACATTTTTCTATGAAACGATGACTATATCATTATTTTATTACTTCGCTCTAAACATTTTTATCTTTTCAATTCTATTTTCATATTTATGTTTTAACTATATCCTCAAATGGTTGTATGAGCGTACGAAGAAAAGGAGTTTCTGTACACTTGTCAATTCCAACACAGAAAGAATCTCCTGCCTTTCACTTACGTTTGTAGATCTACTTAATCGTTAAAGCAGAAACCAGTAACTCCATCAATGTTGTCAAGAGGCAGTTGATAATATTTCAGACTGTCAGTGCTTTAATGTGGACTAAAAGTTTGATATTCACAAAGAATAACCGTTGATTATACCGATAACGTGAAATCTTAATAGATTAAGTGCATTTTGCTTAAAACCAGTTAAAATAAGGGACAGATTTCGACATTAAAAAGGGAAAACATCTTACATTCCAAATCATTAGACCGTATAACTTGTATTTGGTAAAGGATTGACCATAACTACATCAAGATTGTGTTGAATTTGGGAAATCTGAATGAATTTACCATTCATCCAATCATCTGAGCCAGTGTTTCACCGTACTGCCATTTCTCTTTTGGGGGAAAGAAATCCTTGGATTTTTACATTATTGAACATTTTAGATGTTATAAGTTCTGGTTTCTGTTAAGTCAAATATATTTTGCTCATTTTTAAAAACATGTTAAATTCAACACCTCCCATTACAATTAAACTCCACATCTCTTACAAAGATACAAGAAACAATAGGAGGTAACACACCGTGTGGCCACAGGGTTTATGTATATTGTACCTACAGGATTCGGTGGTGTAAATGAACACAAACGTCCCGAAACACTCGGCCTCATTGAAAGAGTTCTGTGTAGCATTTGCAGCTTTGGGTAACTTTCATTTTGTATTCAATTTTTATTTCTGACTTAATATTTGGAGTGTCTACATATTCAACATCATATGGACCCGCTCATAGCTCTTACAGTATTTAACATTATCAGCATACACCTTTACTCAGCCAGCCTTAAGAGCAAAAACTGAATCGATGATACGTTTGTGTAGCAAACTGAGTTCATACACAACTAAACTGTCTCTCAATATGTGTATTATTCAGCCTTATTCATACATTGTGTAATTTGAGCTTTTGAGCAACTGGGAAGCATCATAAAGATATAATGGTTACTGATTTATGTTTGCAGTCACATTGAACACGTGTTAGGGTGATTGCCACTGAGCAGGACTCAGAAACACAGCATATAAGGTCATTGACAAACTAAACTGGTGAAAAGAATGGGTTTCATTTAACAACAGACTTTATAATCCCGTTACATGTACAGTATACTCATTCTAAATTCCCCATTTTTAAGTGAAATATTGTAAATTCAAAATTTCCAACCAATCTCTGTATTTGTTTAGGGTCAATGTCAATGGTCTAATTTTAAAGTAATGCGTAGTTGGCACATTTGTAGCCGGTAAAATGTGTGATAATGGTGATCTTTGCAAAAGGAATGATAATAAATTGTTTTTATTGGTAAAACTTAGCTCGGGCTCACGTCTTTTATTTGACAGAGACATTTGTGGAGCACAGAAAAGACGGCGCTGCGTCCTTTGGACTGTGTGGGGAAAGCGTTCAGCAAAGGTTTCAACACATACAGTCCCTCGGTAATTAAATTAAGTTATTAATTAAGTTCTAAATTTGTTTCTAACTTGACCCGTGAAGCGGCTGGTGAGAACGGTGTGAAAGCAGCAATCCGCTGAGAGCTTCTGAATGCTTAAACAGTACCAAATCTCTGACTAGTCAGTCGGGTAAAATGAAATAAGAAACACTTGTTCACTGGGCACACAGTCGCTACAGACATCTCCTGAAGAGGGACTTTGTTCTCCCCCCTGCGAGTGCGCTAAGTGCTTCAACAGAAGGAGATTTCAATTAAAATCACCTTACACTTGGATGGCTTTGTGTTCATTAAAATGTAGCGACCACTTAATCATTACTATGGCCCCTCGTATGCAGGGGAGAGCTTCTGGGATGCTCTGGTCTGCGGATTATCTCAAGTTGTCAGGGTGCTGTAGCTGAAATTGGAGTGTCATGGATACGTCGCCGCCAGAAGACTCTTCGGTGTTTCCGAGTGACTGAAAACTTGCCCCCTTTTTATGTTTCGAGCAGTTTCTTAAGCCGTCCTGAGACTTTCATACATGTTTTCTTTCCAGTGTAAAATGTTCCTGGTTACCCATCAGCGTAACGTCTTGTGTCTTTGTAGCCGAGCGTTTATTTTCACTGTAATATTGTCAAACTCAATGCAACTCCTGAGAAGATGCTTCGGCCTGGTGGGGTGCATTGGGATACGGGCCCATCGGGTGAGGGGGACGTGACACAAGACCAATAGGCCATCGCTCAGCGTCTCGTATAACTATGAACCACTACTTCATCTGCACGCAGCACTGTTTGCTAATGCCCAGGAGTCACATGCAGCTGTTTCACTGTCTTCCCCTTCCAGTAAAGTTAGCCACCAAACGTTAACGTCCGGGTTGCTAATGAAAAGGTAGACTCCTGCCTTCACCCGAGCCCATTGGCTGGCCCCTCATCTATTAATTCTCTCCCTCCTTATAGACAGAGACCATTTAAATGCCAATGAAAAGCCATCCAATAAAAAGCGGTTCGAGTGGTTCCAAATAACGCCTGAACTTGCCTGAGCACTCGCCAACTAATTAAGTTCATCCCTGAGCCCCTGAAAGACTTAGCCAGGTGTAATTAAAATCACGCCTGTGACAGCCGTGGCATTTGTCAGAGCGACCGAGCAGTTCAAATACCAGCACTGACAGAAATGTCAAATAGATAGTGGCGGCTCATCTCCTCTTCGGCGTTCCACGCAAACACAAGCACGGCCATTGTCTTGGTCATAAATGCTCTCTGATAACCTTTAGGGTTCCCCCCGAACAGCAAAACTACAAATTCTCTCCTATTATTCATCCACGGAGGATCATATTTATTGACGCCCTGATCCACTTGACGTGTGACGGTGTAATCTACTTCATAGTGCCTCCTGATCTCAGAGGCTTGTCACGAACTGCCGATAGCCTCGGATCCTGCGTCTCTCTCCATGTCACTTTAGAAATTGATGGCAGCGTTGATCTTCGATATGGTACCAACCGTTTTGTGATAATCGGCCCCATCATGCTACATGTAGCGGTGTGTCTGCGGGTGATAGACGGCTTCTGCTTTGCCAGCTGCTCTGAATTGATGTGTCCTAATCAAGCAGAAGACGACAACTAGTCCGTTGAAAGGGAATTATGGGGCATGGGATCACTCGACGCCGCTTCCCAAAGTCACTACGCTGCTTTCTTGACGACATGTTGCGTCCAATCGGTGAGATATTCCTGTTCTGGACCAAAGCAGGGAACCAACAGACCGACTACCGTTCACGCAGCCGTGCTGCTTCCATTGTGAGGGAGAGACCTTTGGGCTTAAATGTCACACACACATTAAAAATGCACAGTGGTGACATTTTTGTTCGGACATTCTTTCTTTACATGTACTGTGAACTTTGGAGATTGTCGGCCGAGGAAAAAAGTGGAAAGCAAAGGTGTGTGTTGATCACTTCCGCCTCCTCTTGTTCGAAGACTTTCAGCGGCGTAGAAAGATACAGGGAAACACACTCTGCACTTTTGGTTATGCTGAGTTTCACTCTCCATTTGCATCATCACAAAACTGTGCAGAAAAGATGGTTTACAGCCAAGTCATTACAGCCGGCTCATAATGTGATACAAGAGTTATCCCAGTCAATAGTTTCATGGATTAGTTCACAACATCACAACTATGTGCAACTCTGGATGTCTTTGTGTGTCATTATTGGCAGACGTATTTTACTGCTTGTCTGAACCATTTTTTTTTTACACACCTCCTGCTTTATGTCATTCTTTGTTTCATTTTCACGTCGACCAAACACATTAAGGCACCTACTGAGCAAAAACCTGTCAATGTTTCAGAGCATAATTAGAGCTCGAATTACAAATCATTATTTGTTAGAGGGCAGACCAAACTGCAATCTACAGCAATGGTTTAAAACATTTACTATTAGGATCACATTTACAATATGATATTCCCAAAATCATATTATATTACTGTTAGAGATATGTTAGTATATTGTTTTAATAGATTTTAGGAGCTGTGTAAAACATGCAGATTTACTTCAGCGTATTCATACAAATGAACTAAATTCTAGCACGGCTTCAAACTACGACTTCCCCAACTCATTAAAACTCTGCCCACTCAGCCCTGCATAGTCATTTCCTACCACAGTTCTATTTAGTAAGAATTCAAAATAACGTGTTTAGAGGTAAACGGACTCACACCCTGATGTTTTTTCACTAACCTCCAAGATGGAAATGATTGACATGGGTGGTGAACCATGCAGAAATGTTGGATACAAATGTAAAACTTGCCCCTTTGCACATTTATTGTGAATTCCATTAGCATTCCTGTAAAGTTCCTATGTTCCTTATTCATGAGCTGTGGATCAGAGTCCGCATCCAATAGAAATACATATGTGATTGTGAGTCTGTGATTGCCTCGCTGGGCTCCAGAATTAATAAATGATGCCTGGCAGTCAGTGCATAGGCTCTGTTTTACTTTTATTGCACACCCCTTCCCATATAATCTCAGTGTTAGCACAGCTCCTGAAAAGAAACTATTTCATTAGTCACGTTAAACTCGTCGGTTCCCATTTCAGATTCATGTGTATTACACTATGTAGTGCTGTCATTAAGGAATTAACTGCTTCTATCTTCACACAGATTTAATTGGCTCCTGGTGTGCTTCCTAATGAAATTGCAGCTTGTAGAGTGTGAAGCAAACTCATATCTGCACTGTCTGATGCTTCTAAAAACGTCGATGCAGTGCAGTGTCAAGCGGGAGGATACTTTGCTTGTTCAGTTGCATTGCGAGTAGAAGAACACCTGCACGGTGAGTAATGAGATTCTTGCGCCCTGCTGATCAGAGGTCAGCTCTTCTCTGCTTGCAGGCTCAGCCACAGGCCAGTCAAGATGGGTAAGTTCCAGCTCGCCGCTGAATAAGGACCTCACTATATGTGCAAAGCATTCGACATGTCGCTAATAAGTAAAGCCGCATTGACTACGTTTGAACATTTACAACTCCCCAAGTAACTGATTGGATCCCCGAAGTCCCCGAATTAAATAATCATTAGACATCAGTAAACAGCAGCATTTTTTACCAGCCAACTGGTGTGTGATCATTTATATATAAAACAGGTTTGGGTAATTTCCCTGGCACATTTAATCTCTAATGCAGCTCCAGTTTATCATCATGTGTAAGTGAGTTCAAAGAATGCCAACCCAGTGCAGCTTCATTTAAATGTTATTGTGACTGAGAATGCATTATGTCCTTAGTAATGGCCAATATTGTCCAACATTAAATCCTACCTTCACAAATGGGGATGGCCTTGTGTGATTTACTTATGTGGAACTGGTGATGGACCCATCTCATCTTGTGCTTTTGGGACTGGGAAAATTACCCACATCAAAGCTAAAAAGGGCATTTTCTATATTAGCCACCAAAATTCAACAACTCAAAAGTTCCTCCTCGTTATGCGTTCTCCTCCAGTATGAAGTGCATTTACTATTCCATCACTGAAAATCCTTTGTCCGTATGGAAAAGATGGTGTCTGCGTCGCCTTTGAAGTGAGCCGAACCCTAGTGCTGCAGTCCAGAGGGAGGCTGTTTGCACTTGACTGCACAACAGTGAGACTTTGCACAGTGACTGACCTCGGGGCCGGAGTGCACCATTATACTTTATTACATTAGATTACAGACGTCTGTGCAGGCCTAATGATTCATGGCTATGTATCCTAACAATGAGACACCCCTTTGGTGTCGTTTGGTAAGAGAAGGTCACATTTTGAAGGAATGTGGAGCAATGCATACATCACGAATGTTATTAGTTTTAAAATAAACACGTTTTCTCACTGAAGGTAAAAAGTGGAGCAGTAGAATATTAATTGGGATCAACATACGCCACAAAATGTCCTGATGCTCCCGATGGCAAATAGGCCATTCGTCATTGTCACTTCTATGCTCTTTTTTGGAATATTCTCTCGGCGTGGCACACTGGTTGTGAAGGATTTGTCTACTTTGGATTGCTTCACCTCTCCGGGGTAGCTTAAGTATGTGTGCCAGTGTTGGATCATTTCCTGTTTTATTTTGTCGTTTCCTGCCTTTGGTGTTTGCGGGTTAATCTTCACTTCCTTCCCTGGTGTGTTTTCCCCCTGTGAGTGTGATTGTCTGCTGTGTCCAATCACCTGCAACACAGATAGCACAAAAATAAAGACATATTTAACTACTCAAAAAAGTCCACATGCAAACAGGGGACCAAAATTCCAAGCAACCAAAAAACTTTCTGTAACACGACACCAACATAGACAAAGAAAATGAACTTGCATGGGCAATATGCTTTTGGGGATTTCAATCTTTTATTAAAGCAATATTGATTCTAGTTTTGAATTGTTGGCTTCATATCTTCTGCCGCAATAGTTTTTTTTTTTTTTACTCTAAGAATAACTATCTCGGATACCCTTGAGCTCAAAACCCCTCAGGGTGCCTTGTGGTCTTCAGCCCTTTGGGAATATGAGCAGAAAGAGAAGAACATTCTCCCAAGAAGTTTGGGGCGTTTGGAGCAATGTCCTCCCCTCCAATAAATTAAAATAGCTAGGGGGGGGGGGGGGGGGGGGGGTTAAGGAGATTGGTGCACACAGCCATGACAGAGTAGGTGTTTCCATTATCTAAAGTGCATGTGATTTTGTTTAGGCCTGCATTTTAAGGAAACTACAGATACCATTTGGGTTTCGCAGAACCTGCTTGATGCCAACGAAGGTCCTTGTCCACAGTCTACCTGCACTCCCCGACGACACCAACACAACGACTCAGAACCAGTCCAATGCGCGCAGTGGAGTCCAACTATAAATACCTGTTTCCTCTCCGTCTCCGATTCCTTCCCCAGCAGAGAGGTGACATTCCACGTCCCCAGAGACAGGGACCTGACCCAATTCCTGTCCCAACGAGTGGTGGGCCCACACTCGGTAGATTCCTCTGGTGCGCAGTTTACATTGCCACATTTCACAGCTCTGAAAACAATTGAAACAATATTTTACACTAAAAGACCAGTTAGAACTGTTAGACGGTTTGACTCTTTATTTGGTCTAAAAAGATAAGACACGGATGTGTCAACGGCCCGACCTGTTCATCATTTTAAAAGATTTGTTTACTGTCTTTTATTCATTTAATCTTACTCATACACACAATTTGGCGCTTTGTCTAAACCAGCAGCTGGGTTTTGAGTTTTTAATGCATTTTGTTTGTGTCTTGTTGAAAATCATCACAGCCTGTTGGGTTTTCTGTTTGTATTGAAGCACAATGAGCATCTACTCCTGTGCTGTATTTAAATTTACTGTGGCTTCGAGCTAAATCTAATAAGATGAAATACAATTATGTTATTCTATTATCTGCCAGGTATTCATCATTGACAGAACATGCTGCTGCTCAGACAAAAGACAAGTGGGTGTGCCGCAGCAGGCTTTATGGAGCAGCTCCATTCATCTTATTATTTGATCAAATGAGCACAGTGTATTATATTCTTCAAACAAATGGTAGCCCTCTCTAATATTATCTTTTATACTATTGCCTAGTTCTGGTTCTCACACATGAACATGCTCAACACATTCTATAAAAAGGGTCTTCTCATATTGCAAATTAGATTCCATTCAACAGGGACTGTTTTGATGATCAGAAGCACAGAGGGACCTGCTGGCCATTCACTGGCTCCATGTTGTTGGTCGAATTCATTGCATTAATTCTACCAATGATCCTTTTTTCATTTCCCATATTTTTGGAGGTTTTGGATGTGAATCAGAAAACTGTGCACACAAAACTGCTGCACGTAATGGTAGTGCTGTTAAAATAAGAAATATTACATACAAAATATGAGAAATCTACATATGTTTAAGCTTCTTTTTCAAAAAAGGAAAACAATTTTTTGCAGCTTACAGTTTACGGCTTAAGACAGACTAACACGTGTGAACACACTTCGCATGCACCTTCTTCTAGTCCTCGGATGTTGTGAGGAATATTGCAGTAGACTGACAGTCAGACAGGACAACACACACGTGGATTGACACATGCAATTTTTTCCCGCCTCATTTCGGGTGTTGGTTTTGCTTTCTGACACACACATCAGTTTTCACTCCCTGTTCCACTCCTCCCAAAAAGATGCGAAAGTCGCGGCTGATCGACGTCTCATGGACCAGTTTTATCTTTCCTCTGAAACAGACAATGCGTTTGCTTGAGCGAGGCCCCGAAGGTATCATGCTGGAGCAGTGTTGGGGGACAGGATGCGTGTTTGACATAGCGTATCCGCATACCCGGCTAAACAGTCGCTGCAGAGAAATAATTGCCTCTTTTGCAGATGACAGGAACATTAAGGCGGCATGGCGTTCCCTGGCGTTTCAATGTGACGGCCAATGTAAATTACAGGCGATGGCTGGTGATCCAGTCGTGTCAGACTCCATCTCAGTGTAACCAAAGGTCACACAGCTTTGGGAGAATTGTTCGCATTGTTCATCCCCTGTCATGTTGGTGTCGTTTCAAAGACAGGTCAAAGCCATTTCATTTCACCAGATTTTTCTTTAATGTATCACAGTTCGGAATATTTTTAATACCAATAGCGATATTTGAGTGAATGGGGCATGAGATGTAAAAATGTCCATCATTCTCTGAAAAGACACTAGATGTCAAGTTGTCTGTTCATGCACGTCTAGAGGATGTGGGAGCTGAATGATGCCGTTATTGATGTTTGCTTCATCGGCCCCATCTCACCTGTCACCAGATTGCTTTCATTACACACACTCCCCACTGTGGGAATTGCCAGAGTTGTGCTTATCTACATAGCCATATTTCATATTTTCATATTACGAGGTTTCACTGATACGGCTGTCGGTAAACTCCAGTACACTGGAAAAAATGCCCCTCCAAAAATAAGTAAAAAAACAACAAATACGAGACGTTTTTGCTTGAAATAAGCAAAAAAATCTGCCAATGGAACTAGTGAAAATCGGCTTGTCAAGATTTCTTGAAATAAGATGTAATATTTAGGACTTTTGAGATAGGAATTGATCTTGAAATTAGCCAGGTAAACTTATTTTGAGCTATATTTTACTAGTATTAGAAAGTGTTGTGTATCATAATAAGCTTGAAATGCTCAAAAGTAGCTTTTTATTTTTTCACTGTTCATGGCATCCCTCTTATTTCAAGTGTATTTAACTCATTTAAAGTTCTAAAATAGTGACATTGTCCTAGATTTTAGACCACCACCAACTTGAAATAAGATTAAAAAGTGATTATTTAAGCATTTTAGGATAAAAAATGTCTTGAAGTTAGCTGGAAATACTCATATTATGCATTGTTTTACTCATAAGAAGTGCTTTTGTATCATAACTAATCTCAATTCAAGTGCTTTTAACTTAATGTTAGCTCTACAATAGTGATACTGTTCTAAATTTAAGACAAACGCATACTGCATTAAACAAACAAATATTTTATTTGCATAAGAAAGAGCATGCCTCTTTAGCTCTGAAATGCAGGAGGGAGCAAACAATTCTTACAATACAGTGCAGTTAGTCAGTTACACTGTGCCTGCAGCACCAGTCATGTTTTGGCGCAGTGTGTATGGCACTGTAATAAAATACTAATAATAGTAAAAAAACATAGCAAAACATGACATATATGTGTAACACATGGATTACAGTCAGACATAATCATCTGACCTCTGTCTCCTCAATACACTTACAATGTGCTTATTATTGCAACAAGTTATGGGTCTTGGGCTAACATTAACATAAATATTTGACCACTGTGTCCCTCAATAGATCAACAACATTGTTATTATTGCGACCTTAACATTGGGAAACATTTGCTAAATAAGAATGGAAACGGCTTTACTTGCCAACAAAGGCTTTCCAGTCAGCCATGCCCTTCTTGAAAGATGGTGTGAGGTCTCGCTCATGGATTGTGTCCAAGAGAACCTCCGTTTTTATGACAGAGAGCAGAGTGGCTACGCACCTGGGGTAAGTAAGGTGTAGAGCATAATAGTAGGCCGTAAGGTATAAAACACCCTGTGTTACCTTGTCTTTTGGGAGCGTAGTTATCAGCACATCTCCTACAGCCAGGAGGCAGTTGGACAAACTCACAATAAGGACTGGGCAGGAGAGACGACGTTTCTTCAGATAGTCATTGGGGTCTTCTTTTTCCTTAAACACATAAAATGGACATCTTTCCATCAGGATAAAGAAAAATTCAGAGGAGGAGCTATGGTTTTCTTTTACATCAGTGATTTTAGTGGTACTTGAGGAGTCCAATATTTACTGAGGTGGCACACTGTCTAAGAAGCTTTAGAACCACAGATATAAAGAATATCAGAATGTGTCTGTGGGTCTACTGCAAAAAATTGTGTTGCTTAACACACTGTATTTGAATCTATATAAATGTATTTACATTTGTTGGGCTAGGCCAGTCTTTTTAGGTCTTCACTAGGTCAATAAAAACTATTAACCAAGTAGTGCATTCATTTTGCTTACCTCGAGGACATGCACAAGAGCCTCACTCACATGTCCTAACTTCTTCAGAGGAGCAGATGAAGAGGGGAACAATGAAGGCAGCACACGTAGGATACTGAGAGCCTGTTCAATTGTTGAGGATAATATGTGTTACTTTTACACTTAGATAATACAAGGTCAAATCTGACCAACAGTTTACAACATCTGCTAAAATACAAAAAAAGTTACACAAATCATGCGATAGCCACCACAGATGAAAAGAAGACACTAGCACATAAACCTGCCTAATGTCCACCCTAATAACATCAAACATCATTGCTTACCTTTGTCCATTCCTACTGAGGGTTTCAGCAGCTTTTTTCCACACACCAAAAAACTGCACCTTCTGGCAGAAGTCGTCCCCATCTTCCCTTCAGCTCATCAATGTAATGGATGTTATTTTTGTCCAGAATGCGTTGAAGCTCCCCCATCACCTATCCAACATACAAATAAAGACATTTGACTGCATTGGGTAGGAGACAGAAATTGGCATACAAGACATTGTTTTGTGTGGTGCCATGTTTTAAATTATGCTTAGTCAATAATGACTTACATGTCCAATGTCCTCTGGAATTTTCTTGTGTCTGTCCTCCTCGCAAAAAGAATCAGAGTCAATGAATGCTCTTCTGGCTGAAAATCCAAATCCAGGAGCTGAGAGACGGACTCACGGTTTGGAGTTTCTTCTTACGCAAAGATGCGGGCATCTTAGATGAAGGACAGAATATACATAATTAAATACATGGCATTAATTCATAGAAATTAGTAACTTTATAAATAATATGGTAGCATTAGTTTGAGTCTTCCAGTTTATTAGTCTTCCAATCAAAAGAAGTGTAAACTATGAACACCACACAATGGTAAATTTGTAAATGTAATGTTAGAACTCACATCTGGCATTGCTGCCCGAGTCTGGGGTGCTACTCCCTTCAGAAGGGAAGTCTTGAATGCTTGAATGCTGCCCCCCTTTTGAGGGGAGATCAGAATGACTGTTGAGTCACTTGAATCAAATTCATCTGGGTCAGTCAGGTTGGCACTTTGGCTCCTCGAGTCGGCGCCTCTTTGGATTGGTCTTTTGGGGTGATCTCAAATTTTTCAATCTTTTGTATAGCTGTGAGTACACAGTAACCTGTGACAAGAAAAATTCAAATAAATGCTTCAAACATCAAACATGCACCTGGATGCATTTGACCTACCCATGCATACTTGCTGCTCAGGTCTCGGTCCTGCAGCATGGGGTAGTACAGCACTGTTCGCTTTGCCATAGCTGTTATTTCTGGCTTTGACGGGTATCTGTCTCTATCCCCCGTTGCCCTCAGGATTGCGATCATACTGGTCATGGTGTTTCGGATGAGCCGACATCTGAGGTCCTTTGACATTTGGCAGTTTCTCTCTTCGCCGGCCCTCGCCAACTCAAAATATTGTTTTTGGGCATTGCTCTAGTTTGGTGTCAGTGTGCAATACATATTCTGGGAAGGATAACTCAACAACATTTTCAGGTGTTGTGTGCTTTGCAGGACATCTTTTTACTTGAGTGGATGTCTGAGATAGGGGTGACCCAATCATAGAAGTAGAACTGCTCGTTGATTTTGAGTCTACAGTTTCCTGTAAAATAAAATATAATTAAGTATTTGTAAAAGCAACTTTTAATTTATACTGTCTTAACACAAATTGTGATGCAGCATTGACAACTCCACTAAGGTTATAACAATAATCCTAAATAGTTTGTGTTAATATTCTCCTTTTAGTGATAATGAAGGTAGGTTTAGTGATTGCCTTATGGTGTTGGATATAAATACTTACTAAACAAGCAGAAAATGAATAAACTTACTTCATCATCAAAAAATGTAAATACACATGATATAACAATAGATAAAGAAATGACATACCTCAGTGGATTATGCATCACATCAGAGTGGTAAATTAAACATTTTAATCAGTCGTAACTCTCTTAATTCTGAAGCAATTTTAATTCAAATTTACTGAATGTATATAGCAATCTACATTTTTTAGAAACTCATAAAAGCATACATTCTAAATAATTTATATTTTAAGTTGTGGTTATTCCGAATGTTTTAGTATAATAGAACAGAGTAGATCCACCCCAGTAACTGGATTTAATTGAAACACGTAACCAGTATAAAGTTAAATTTATCCAATTTATAATAAAACCATTCCATTCAAATCTGTTCAGAATTAAGAGTTACTACCGATTTTATAGAGAGGACTGCAAGTCTTAATCTGTTTAAATTTAGCTGATCTTAACCTCTCTGATGAATCATAAGTATTGCAAAGTAGGTTTTTACTTACAAGGGATTTTTCTTGGTGTTACTGGTGCATATTAAATATGACGAAAAATTAATAACCACGTTAAAAATGTATATTTGACTACGTTACCTCTTAAAGTCGACACCGTGACGTCATCAAGTTCGTCCATGCTGTTAGCAGTTTTAGCTAGCAAGTTAAATAACGTTAGCTAACGTTAGCTAGCAAGATAGCTAGCTAACGTTAGCTTGTGCTCGGCTGCAACAGTGTACACAACAAATAATATTAAATATAATATTTAAAATGTATTGGACTAAAAAAACTGAGATATTCGATACAACTTAACCTGCAATGAAATACGAATTCAAACCGTCTCGGACGAGGCAGCTTAATTACGCACCTGTAACGTTCCCTCCAGTGAGCCGTCTGTGTTCCGTACTGCGCATGCCCAACTTTCAACAGACACGACAAACGAGTAAGACGTCTCACTCCTTCAAAGAACTAGTGACTGTATTATGCTCACTGTATTATGCTCAGATTTTGAATAAAACGCGTTGTTTTTCAGAGACGGAAATAGTAGTGGAGTGGGTCCTCTCTCTTTTTTGTTTAATCTTTAATGAGGACTAACGTAAAATAGCGGGACAGCCTGCCCACTGCTGAGCCGTAGACTGCTACCATTTACAAAACAGGGGTTTATGGCATTAATTAATTTTTTCAAATTAATTAAAAACAACTAGTTTTTGAGTGTTTTTAGGAATGTGTTATATTTGTGTATAGCTTGACTAAATTGTTGCCCATTTCAGATGAATTATTCTGTAAAGATAACTAAATAAGAACTTGATAAACTACCGGTAATTTCTCCCGGGCTGGATATAACGTGTTGGCTTGCTGCACTCGCCTTAACGTTAGGAACCTTGCTCCTCCAAGATGATCTGCCGTTGTTTCATATGCTACATTTTTGTGGCGTTTACACTGAAAAACATTGAGTCACATCAACTCTTTACACAGTCGCAGCCCTGACTTTCGCATAGTGTGTGGCATTGATGGCTGTCCTAGTGACTATATGAGTGTATAACATAACATGATTCAGACACATTCTGGGGACCTTGGTCAACTGAAGAGTGATGTGATGGGAGTATTTGACCAGTTTAATGACCCTTTCAGTCAAATCGCTACAACACATTTGCAGGATAAAACAATCAAAGAACTGTTACAGCCAGTTGAACCAGAGACGATTATATAAAAAAATACGGTATGTTATGAGAGTTCTTACCATTGAACACCATTACTTTTATTATATACCATTGTTGAAGTTTGGAACAGCTGTTAATGCATCCAAGAGTTCTTGCAATGATTGATCAGGGGCCACAGCCATGCCGGGATGGATTTTTTCACGATTGTATTGATGGAGACATTTTTAAATCACACCCACTGTTTTTGAGAGTCCCCACAGCATTGCAATTCATTTTATATACAAATGAAATTGAATTGTGCAATCCTCTTGGATCTCGGGCAAGCAAAAACAAATTGTTATTGATTTATTACACCTTAGGTAACATCAACCCTAAATACAGATCAAGACTTGCTGCCATTCGTCTGCTTGCCATGGTAAAATCAAAAGATATTTCTGATTGTGGTATTGATAAGGTGCTTGAGAGCATTAATTGTGACTTGATTGAGCTGTATGATAGTGTTAAAAGTTGTCACTGCAAATGGTGAGAAGACAATTTTTGGGGCGCTTATGACTGTGTGTGGAGACACTCTAGCTCAACATGAAGTGGCTGGATTTAAGGAAGGAGTAGGGTTTGCTTACAGTAAATGCAGACACTTGAATGCAACTTTGACGACATGCAGGAACAATTGAATGAAGATTTGTTTGTTAAAAGGACCATGACAAGTCATATCGACAATGTAGAGACATTAAAAAAGCAAGCACTGACTTTCTGAAAGAAAATCTTGGTATTATATGGTATTAATAGGAGAAGCAAATTAACAGAATTTCCTCACTTTGATATAATCAAACTCCACAAGACATCATGCATATTATTCTTGAAGGTGTTGCCCCATATGAAATCAAATGTGTTTTAAACCATTTTGTGCTTTCAGAGCATATGGAGTTAGACGCATTCAACAGTGCAATTATTGTTATCCTTTACTCTCTTTTGGATGTAAGAGATAAGCCTTGCCCCATATCGGTCAATACACTGTCATCAAATGACAATAAACTGAAACAGTCAGCAGGGCAGATGCTGGTTTTGTTAAAGAGCATGCATGAATGTAGTCAGAATGTGCATGAGACACATCCAATTTTTTCAAGTGAAGTTGATATCGGCCCAGTCTCTGAGGTTCAAAATGTTCACTACGTAGAAGGAAAGATTAAAGACTTCTTAGAAATACAGAACCTTCAACATATAGTTTCGGTAAAGTGGATAATGCAACATGGAAATAAGTGTAGATGTGAGAAAACTTTGGTTATTTGTAATGTCATCAATAGTACTCCAGAGTCTGGACTTGTGAAAAACATCTACATAGTAAATTCTTCACTGTATTGTTTTGAATGCCAGCCTCTCTCTATAAATGAGTGGAATGATCATTATTTATCTTATGAGGTACAAGTTCCCTACCTCGCTCAAGCCAATATTTTTGTGGATGCTGATAAACTTGATTGAAAGAATAGTTCAACATTCTGGGAATCCCTAGTCTTGTGATCACCATGAGGCAAACAGCAGAGACTCCAGAACTATGAGTTTTTGTCCAAATCCGTTGAAACTTAAGGATTTCCTATAAACAAGATATATTTTCTTAAATCAAAAAAGTCTAATTCCTGAAACAAGATGATTTATCTTTTGCAAACAACACAGCAGCTTAAAAATCTCTTTAAAAGTTAAAAAAGCTTGTTTCATATGACATATGACTCAAAACTAGATGTTTTCAAGACCTTTTCACTTAACAAGATATTCAAGATGTATTGTCTTAAAACAAGTCCCTATATCTTGCTGAAATCGTATGTGGTAGGCATTTGTATCTTATATTAAGTGTAATGGGATATTTTGACTAGAAATGAGACAAATATACTTGGTAAGATT